AACAAAAATATATTAATATACAAATTGAACGATTAATAAATAGTTATGCGCGTGCAATTTGCCATTAAAAAATCGTATTAATCGATCAAAAAATTTGTTTTCATGCCGCTTTAATTCCATATGTTTAAAAAGTGCAGATTATATTTCAAAAACTTTTTAATATATGATACGTAATCTTCTGTTTCTACAAAATGTACATCTAATAGCAGTTAATTAAAATAAAAATAAGAAATTTGTTGCTAATTGTCTTGATTGATTAGATTCTGCACGCAATACTCCTTTCATGTTTATTTTTACTAATGTAGAATAATTCTTTTATCGCAATTTAACTTTACTTTTTATCTTTTTCAAATTCCAAGAATTCGATAATAATTCTAAGAATTAGAAAAAGATAAAAAGTAATTAAGTTAAACCGAGATTAAAATTAATCTACATTAGTAGAAATGGACATTATACTGTCATTTATATCGATTTGTTTTTCCGCAGGCATTATGTCACGTGAAAAAGGGCGTCCCCGTTATATACTCATATGCAACACATACACACTCAACAAGCATGATCACGCATCGCACGTATCACATATGGTACGACCACCTTTTCGTCTTCATGCTCGCCCGGTTGTATCTTTGATTCATTTACATATTCGCCGGTCGGAGATATAAAACCTGATAACACCCTTCTCTCTCTCTCTCTCTCTTTCCAACAAACCTCTTGCAACGGATTGAAGCCCCGCTCCAAAATCTTTTCCGACTGACTGAGAACTAAATTAACATCGTCACGTTAATGAGATAAGCGATAACCGCGGATGATGATCGAACGTTACATCCGGTTCGCTTAATTCGCAACGCGTCGCGATATTTCCGCGCGATCCAATTATTCCGGGATAATTGGATAATTCCTCAAAAGAAATTTATACATTGAATCAGCACTTTATACGACTTACGTACTTTTTATAACATCATTATTCTTTATTTTTGGATGGTTTATAATTGAACAGTGCAAGCATTAACCAATAACTTTTATCATCTTTTATATTATTATCTGATGTATCAAAAAATTAAAATTTTGATAGTATATCATAAGATATATATTTGCAATTATTTTTTAATCGCGCAAGCATACCCTTGCTTTAAGCCCTTCGGATAATACTCGGTGGATTCACAAAACGTGTGCTTCAGATCTATATCTATTGCTTTAATTGATTCTGTAAGGTATAATAATACCATTCAAATCGTACTGATTCGGCAGCATGGTGTTTAAGTCCCAATTGCCACACGTCACAAACGAGCTTTTTTTAGATTTGTCAAAGTACCCTCTCTTATGTCCATTTCTTCCAATGTAGATTACCTAATTTTGATGTTGGTTTAACTTCTTATTTTTTTTTCTAGTTCTAATAATTTAAAAAATTCTCAGGAACTTCTGTGAAGCAAGGCTGATTGTCCACCGTCTCTTGCTGATGATTCCGATTAATTCTGTGCAGAACAGTGAAAGAAGAGGAGAAGGGGGTAGACTCTGTGTTTCATATTATACATACGAAACATGTCCTCGCACGTGGTCTCGGAACGCTATCGAGAAGGTACTCAAACTTTTGTGCTACTTAGTGGGAATGATTGATTATTGTTCAGTGAGTTCTTCGAAGGTATCCTAGATATTAGTATTCTATCTAAGTAGGGATTTATTTTTGCCATCACCGAATTCTTCGCAGATCCATTTTAAATTAGAGCGAAAATCTTGGTTTTCCGCGCTTTTCATCTTTCCAATGGCGAAATTTGTCACAACATTTTATTGACTTTTGACTAAATTTTATTGTAACTTACATCATGCCATTTCAATTCTTGATTACCTATACTTACATTACCTATACTTACATAATTATAAGTTCGACCATTAAATATATAGCTATTTTATCAAACTGTTTTGACGTAATATGCATTCGATTGTTACTTCGTTTTATATATTTTACTAGATTATTATAAAATTACTAGTCAATATTAATTTACTTTATTTATTGTCTTGAAATCCTCTCAATTTTATTTATTTTATGTCAGGTTATTTTTGATTAAGATTTTTAGTACTGGTAGTGTCTTTGTTCTTTTGTATTTAAGCAAGTCTGAAAAGAAAAATATTTGTATTTATATTATTATAATAAAATCGTTTTTTTTTAACTAACATCTTTTGTTTCACTCGCAAAGTGGCCGGTCAAAATGTCACAAAATGAACGTTTTAAATCAAATCGCTTATTAGTTTAATTCGTTCTTTATTTATTCAGTTTTTTAGTAACTTATTACTTGTACTTTAATTAATTGCAAACAAATTTACCGAAATTAAATTTTGTACAAAGTACGCCATATCTATTATTACAATGTCAAGATTATTGTTATGTATAGATACCATCGGTATTTAAAAAGCAAAACTGAAATGATAGCGCGATTAGACATTGTCAAGTGGCTTAATCCTTAACTATGGACATGTATTTTTATTGCACGTTTATGGATACAAATTCCTATTTTTACACATAAAAAAAGAAATAAAAATAATCGCTCTTCACCTTGTGAGTTTTATGTAAAAGACAAAACTTGATGCTGTATATAATTATTATATGCTGGAAGATACAAGAAAATATAGCGATAAGTACAGATAGAGCAATTATCCTGCCATTTCTTTCTGCATAGAATCAAATTTTATTTAAAAGATAAAGTCTGATTCTATCCAAGAAAGTAGCAAAACTCCACATCCACATTTAGTTGAGAGTTAGAGCTTGCTCGCAGTTTGAAAACAACTTCCATCTACGTCCTAACGATCAATTTTTGTGAATTAACGTAATTCTGTTGAAAGAAGGTGGAATTTGCGTAAGAATGCGCGCATTATAATGATTTCACGTTTTCTAGGCACATGGCAAAATGTTGGTCGCGCAACACTACGGAACTATCATCCACTGTCATTGCCATGTTCGGCAGTTTGCGCGAGGTGAGGTACTTCATCAGACTTCATGCGGTCTCATGCACCGGAAGAGGTGGGATAGCGTATGTATTTGTTGGGAGATCTATTCATGCGCGCAGAGAGTGCGCATGAAGAGAAACGGAACGAACTTTAATCTTCTTCACACTTCAATTTCAACAACTTCTGTGCGGCTGTACGTATCATGCGTGAAACGCAACCGTGGCGACTAGCGTGCACAGTAAACTTAGGAACGCGCTACACGAAGTGAACAAAAGAAATTAGGGCGAACTTGATTAGCTGGTCGAAAATTAATTCAGAATAGGGTCGTTGCATAAAATTTTTTTATTAAGCGGTCTGATAGATCATGGCATACTTTCTTTGTAAACTTTTTGAATTTTTGCAATATCTTCAAAATTGAAGAAAATATAGTACACGAAAATGTGCGTGACGTCATAATGTTGTAGCGAAATCTTTTGAAGTTGCCGTCATCAAAGAAACTTTAGAAAGCTATAACTTTCTCAAATTTAGGTTTTTTTTTTTAAATTCAAAAAGTATTAAAAATCGGCTTAGATTCTCTACATTAATTATGGATACCGCTTAATAAAAAAATTTTATGCAACGACCCTATTAGCTAAAAAATTTCTAATTATACAACTCGTTGGATTCAATCTTCTTTCTTTATGTTTAATAGCAAAGAATAAATAATTCCATCCATTATAATTAACAAAATTTTGTTATAAGTAACAAAATAGTATTACGTAAAAAGTTATATATTTAATAAAGTTAATTGATTTATACATATTTCTAATTTCTATCAACGTAGATTAACTTAATCTCGGTTTAACTTACTTCTAATCTTTTCTTAGTTCTGAAAATTTGAAGAAGATAAAGAGTAAGTTAAACCGAGATTAAAGTTAATCTACGTTGATAGAAATAAACATTAGTTATATAATTAAAATTTGGTCAAAATCATCTTCAAACGTAAAGAATCGGGAACGGAGCCTTTAGGGTAACTTCGAATAAACTTAAAAAAATCCATTCTGTATATAATTAACAAAATAGCACAGATGTTATCTGGCAAATTAATAATCGATTAAGGGCCGGTTGTTCCAACTTATTGGTAAGCTACCTGATAGTTAAATCACATGTCTATCTTTGTCCGATGTAAAGGATAAACAAAGACATACATATGATTTAACTATTAGGTAGTTTACCAACAGGCTGGAACAACCAGCCCTAAGGTAATTGGAATTTGATCAAACTTGATTTTTAATCCGTTGACTTTATGCACAGTAAAAAATAATTTTATTATCTTTTACTCTATAATAAATCGATTCCTTTATTGTGGACTAAAATGTGGTTTCTCAATTCCCTGATTCCCCTAATTTCTTATGTTTAATTTCTTCGTTCTTTATTCTCGTTTATTCGAACCCTCAGGTTGATACTCAAAGGCAACGATTATTTTTGAAACTCTTCGACATCCACACCACATACTCGGCGTTTATTTTTCACGCACAAAATGAAAAAGAATTGTTCACGCTGGCAACGATACCCGGACAAATTGTATGCGAATGTAGATAGATCCGGTTATTTCCGCGTAACGTTAAAACTAGGAGAGAAAAAGATATCTTTATCTTTCGTACGGAGGAGAAGCTCTAAACAAGCAATTTCGAATGTGCAAGAAAAGTATAACGCAATCCTATTACATCTCTAGTTTACGTAATATTTCGCGCATCTTTACAATCAGTTTTACAATCATTTTGAGCGAGTCAATTTATCTCTTTCGCGACCGTCTCGTTCGGCTGCGTTTTTCTGCTTTTTGGAAACAAATTCGGCGCGAAAATAAAGCACGCGACGTACGATTACAAGGTAAACGATTACAAATTTAAGCTATTTGCATAAAGATACTCCCTTCCCTTTCAGTCGAGTCAGCGAAACTGGCGATTTCGACGATTCGAAGCCGACGATTTCCAGCGTGCGACACGCTTGGCGCCGAGAGACGAGGCTTCCTAGGATCCGGTCGCAGGCAGCTATATCTTATCGGGTAAGCGGACCTCCGACCCCTGCGCAAACACAGAAAGCATCGGGAGACCTTTAACATCCGATGCGCTCCCTCGTCGTTCGGCCATTCGTCGGTCGACCAGCAACGGAAATACTTATTTAGTCGTAACGCAGTGGACGCCGCACACACTCTCTCTACTCTCTCCACTTCCATCTTCATCACCAATCAAGCCGCCGATCCACACCCCGGGTTTATCGCCCGGGTGGTTATCGCGGATATTTTCGCCGCGGGACAAAGCGCCCAGCCGCCGCGGCAACGTCAGATCTCCGTAGATACATCTCTTCAAGTGTGATTTAAGATCTCTTCGAGTGGAACTTTCAAGGATTGGAAGTGACGCGGGAAACTGCAGGAAGAGAAGAATACAGTGAACGGTGCGCAAGAGAGAGGACCGTTTATCGCGAAAGTTTCTCATCCTTCCGGAGGTGCCCCTTTGATATTGTTCGCGTATTGACAGATCCCTATCGATTCGGCGAAATAACGAGACGTATGTTTCGATAGACCCACGTCGAGGGATGAAGACCACGCGGTAGGAGCGATCTCGGAGGGTTTCGCAAATTCCGGGAGCGACAAGGGGTAGCCCCCCCCCCCGGAAAACCATGACCGCCAAGGCGATACTGCTTCTTGCACTCGCGTGCGCGATAACTGCCGCGCGAGGAGGTAATTATCGTTAATTTCCGGTGTGTATATATTTATTACGGCGTCCGGTGTCTCATTAATTTCCTCGTAATCGTTATCGAACGACGGTGTACTTTGCGACGGGACGCAGCATCAGGGTTTCGCCCAGATTTATATTGTAGGAAAATGATCTCGAAGTAACTGGTTTAATCATATTATACGCGTAAAACTTGAGAGACGCGCTAAATTAACGAAAAATAAAAAATGTTATGTAAATTTATATTGTGACTTAATGGTTTGGGAATATAGCGCTTATAAAAATGTATTAAAAATGTCATTCTTGAATGAACAATCAAATTTTTTAAGACTAAATATTATTATTATATATTATTCAAATTTATTTATTATTGAAATTTATTTCTATCAAAGAATTTACAATTTTTTAATATAATATATACATTCCAGCCTTAGTATAATAATGGACGTGTTATTTTTCGAAAAAATTTATTATAAAATATATTAATATACTAATGTAATATATATATATACTAATATACGCCAGATTGCCAGATGTTTCACATGTGCGTAACATTTATTTCGATTTTTTTCGTTCCCACAGAGATTGCCAAGGACCCAACGCTATGCGGCCGAACAAAGTGCAAGGGTAGGTAATATTTTCATGCAGACATAGTCCAGGCTGCCACAGTTCGACACTCAGCTATCATATTTCCATAGGCTTGAGTTACAAGAGTTTATCCCATGGCGCATCGTTGAAAGAGGAAACGAAGAACCGTTTCATTTTTCTAACGACTCACGCATTTTTTCTGTAAACTGCTAACGTGAAATTATTCTCCGTTGCATTTTTCTCTTTGTAAATGTCAATAATTTTAAAGAAAGATAATATATTTTGCACTTTAATCCGCGCAAACTGATTGTTTTACGCAAATGAACGTGTTGATAGTATCTTGCTTGCGTTGCTGCGCGCATACAAACAAATTTTCTAATATAAATAATCTATATCATGTAACAATTTATTGATTAATTTATCAAACTAATTATAATTAATTTATCAACTTAATCCAAAATGTTTCTCTTTTTTTCCTTTTATATACAAATACATATATATATATTTCTATTTCTTTTTTATTGCTTAAATTTGAATTAATTTCGACGAATATATCGTAGAACTTATGTCTATCGAGGTGAAGGACTCCGACATTTTATTTTTGCACACAAACGCGTAGTTGCATAGATAACAGAATACGAGGAATTGATAATGATTAAGAAAACAGATTATTGATAGACACAAAAAATATTTCGAAGCACAAACATTTTACTAACGTCAATCATAGAAAACAACAAATGTTAGACATAACTTTATCTTCCAGAAATACATATTAATGTTTATTTCTTTATATTCTTTTTCGCATCTTTAATATAGTGTTACTAATGAATAATGAAATGAATTAAATAGGAAGTATTCGCTAATGTATATATATTCTGAAGTAAAAAAATTACGAAATTGGAAAATAGCGAAAAAAACTTCACCCTTTTCTTTAATTTTTCTGTAGAAAAAATAAATTTCAAATTATGTTAGGAATTTGTTGTTTCAGAATAATATACATAAAATTGAAAATGTTCTGTAATTATAAATGAACAATATTATAAACACGATGTGTCCGTCCCTTTCAGTTCCGTTGGAGAGAAAATTCAAATATCACGAAGATATCCATTATGTGTACACATATTCCGCGGATGTGAGCACGAATCTGGGCTATCACCTGCTGTCCCATCATTCGAGAAATGATTCGGCTCTGCACATCGACGCCACCCTGTCCGTGCACTTCGACAACCCCTGCGAGGGCACCCTGAGAATTCTGAACGCCAGCATCAGCCACGATCGTAGCGCGTACAACCCCGAGTTCCCGGATCGCGCCGGCTCCGAGTTCAAGGCCAACCTCGAGCGTCACGCGCTCAGGTTCACCTTCGACGACGGGCTGATCCACGAGCTGTGCCCGGACCGGCGCGAGCCGGTCTGGGCGTTAAACATCAAGCGGGGCGTCCTGTCGATGCTGCAAAACAGCATGCGGCGTTTCGACGTGGACCATCGCGGCGACGAGGTGGACGTTCTCGGCGCCTGCGAAACCCACTACCGCTTGTACGAGGCCAAGAAGACCAGCCTGATCGTGAAGAAGAGCAAGCACTTGGCCGACTGCCGGAACGGGCCAAAGTACTTCTCCGTCGTGCAGTCGAATCCCTACAGAAGTCCGCGAAAGCAGCACCGCCAGCACGGATTGTTCAAGTCGCGCAGCGACTGCGAGATCACGATCGATCATAACATCTACGAGAGGGTGGTCTGCGAGGAGGTACGACTGCTGCAGCCGCTCTCCAACGGCGACAAAGCCGGTGCCAAAACCGAGTCTCGAACGGTCCTTCAGCTGGTTCAGGAAAGCACGAGTTCCGTCCACGGATTCGAGGAGGATGAAGACGACGATGATGACGGAAGAGACGAGGATAATTTCGTGCGACGTACACCTCGCGTCAAGAGGACCACGTTGCTGTACGATCACGCGAAGACCCTGAAGACTATGCACGGTGAGCTGCGAACCTCCAGAGACTTGCTGAAGACCATGTGTAGACTTGGAAACGCCGAAGAGTTGCAGCAGAGATTCTCCGAAGTATTCACTAATTTCGTCCATTCGGCACGCTTCTTGGATTATCCCTTGTTGTCGCAGCTATTTAGCAGAGCTAACAGCATTTGCAAAAACGGGAAGTACGTAACTGCCGTGTTTTTAGATGTAACATTTTTCTTATTAACAAAAAAGTCGAAGGATTAATAATTAAAAAAATAAAATAAAAAAATTGTGACAAATTTATTTTATTCAATGCAATTTAACAACATTTCTGCTCTTCTGTTATTCAACAGGAAACACATTGTCGCGGCACTGCCACATTTAAATAGCAACGCCGCAGTGAACGTAATGAATGACCTGATAATCAAGAAATACGTTAATCAGATGACCGTCAATAATTGGATCGTCACTTTCGCTTTGTTTCCACAACCGGATCGCGACACTATCAAAGCTCTTTCAAAGCTACTGGAGTTCCAGTCTCAAATTCCCCACGTCCAGTTTATTCTCAGCTATTCGACTATTATTTATACGTATTGCAGAAATAACGACGCCGACTGCAGTAATTTGGAAGAGGTGAACGTGTTCCTGTCGCATCTTGAACAGAAAATTTCGCAAGGCTGCGAGCCCCGTTTTCATCCTTCTCCTTCGACGAAAGAAGTAAAATATTTATCAGTTTCTTTTCACTATCTGCAGTAAAATAAAAGATAAAACATATACACGTGCGTAGAAGCGTGTGAGAAATAAAAACAATTTTTAATGTAATTTAATTGCAGACGCTGGAAGCTCTGAAAGCTGTCGGCAATATGGGACTCGAAACGAAAGACTTGCAAAGGGAACTGAAGAAATGCATAGACGACACTGGTGGATTCTTACCTATGGAAGTTCGCATTGCCGCCGTCGATGCTCACCGTAGGCTGCCGTCCTGCGAAGAGACTCGGGACGAATTTCTCCTAGATTATTACCGCAACACGACGTTAGACACGGAGATCCGTATAGCTTCTTACTTACAGGTGATGCGTTGCCCCGATTATAACGTTATCAAGACTATCAAGCACACTCTCAAAATAGAAGAAGTCAACCAAGGTTTGTTGCACTTTTCACAGTTAAACATTTAAATCTTTATTACAGCATTCTGCATTCAAAGATCGAGAATAATGTTCAATTCGAGTGTTTTGAAAAATTTATAGATATTTAATATGCGTATTTTTTTAAAGCAGTTTTAATTATTAAGACTCTAAAGCAATCTTGATTTATTCTCGCTTCTAGTTTTTAACGCAAAGAAATGACTTTTTTCTAATTTATAATTCTTTCCCATATTTATTTACAGTCGGTTCTTTCGTATGGAGCCACTTGACGAATCTGTACAATTCTGCCTCGCCTACCAGAGTCGAGATCCAAAGTCTGCTGACGGATCGGGACATCGGCAACAAGTTCAACAGTGATATCAGAAAGTTTTCGCGCAGTTACGAGAGCTCCTTCTTCTCCGAAGAATATGACGTTGGCGTGAATTATCAGACGAATTTGATCTTCTCACCGAAGTCATACGTGCCGCGATCGCTCACTTTCAACGTGACCACCGATTTCCTCGGGCAGTCCGTGAATCTGTTTGAAATCACAGCGCGAATGGAGGGCCTCGAATATTACGCGGAGAATCTCTTCGGTCCGGATGGCATCTACAGTAACGAACGAATTTCGAATCATCTCCAGAATTTCCTCAGACGTTTCAGATCGGCACCGGAGAATGAGAATTATTGGGACGGTGTGAAACGATTGCCTAATATTATCGACAATAATTTCAATCATCCGAAAATAAGTCTCGGTTACAAGGTAATAGAAAAGTAAATAAAATAAAAATTACATCCTAATTATAATAATATTACGGTGTCTTGTTTATTGCGAAAGGTATTCGGGAACGAGTTGATGTTTACGATGCTGGACGGCGACAAGCAAGTGAGGGCTGCAATAGCGAATTTCAATCCCTGGCAGAGGATAAAGGAGTTTCTGGCTATGCAGGAAATTCTCTACGAAAGGGCTGGGATGTTCTTGGATTCTTCTTATGTAGTACCGATGGGGTCCGGACTGCCAATTCGTTTAGATCTCGCCGGTTCCGCGGCTTGCTATTTCAAGATCTCAAAAATGCTCAACGACGCTCGACTATCTGATAAGGAATTTCAACTCACTGCCAATATTGCTTCTAGGTTTGTACCCTTTCTGTATGAATGTGTGTATGTCATCTTTAATATTTTCGAAAATTATAACAAATTCTAAGTTTATTTACAATTATCTATCTTAGTCTTCTATTTTTATTTCTTTTTACAGTATGAGTATCGATATGATGAACACAATGACGGTGGACGCTTTTTACAAATCCGCCGGGCTCAAGCTGCGAACAAACCTTTACTCCTCCGGAACTATGCAGCTTCATCTGAATATAAACAACACCCGTTTAGTGCACGTCAGTCTGGGTTTACCGAACCGCAAGATCGAAGTGTTTTCGCTAGTCTCGGACGTCGCTCTCATCAAGATTAACGGTGGCGAGGTCCAGGAGAGACCGTTGGGTGTCCTGGTAGCCGATCAGAATCAGAAGAACTCGCGACACCTCGCAGTCGTGCCCAAGAATATTATTAGCAACACTACCTGCACCTGGGCCGCCTTAGACAGACTGATAGGCTTAAAGATGTGCACCGATTATCAATTTACAAACGTGACTAAGGATTCTAGTGCGCCCTATTTTGTTTTAGACGGTCTCACGCTCTTTAAGGTCTCCTTGCTCAAAGCCGATCCAACCGCCAAGAATTACGTGTTGGAATACAGTTGGAATAAGACTCAGGTATAATCAGAACCACGAATCATTTTTTATATAATACTTTTGTATAAATTATTTTCGATAATAATTGTGATAAGTAAATGACGATATTAATATATTCAATGAGAATTATAGTAAAATTGTGAAAGCGACAGATATTCTTCATAGCTTCTTTTAATTTTCTTCTAGGAGTTTAGCACGTTTAAGTTGATGTTCGACACGCCTGGCTCGCAGGTGAACAGGGAAATAAGCGCTGTTGTCACTTTTGACACAATAAATAATAACGTTACTGCTCTATTTCATTCGGCTGGTAATTCCCTAATTGCTAAAGGTTAGTGTTTTCTAAATTTATATCTAGTTTTCTCTAATAGCGACGATTGACGAAGATATTATAGTAATGTCTGTACCGTTCAGGTACATACAAACGTTCCGAAGATGAGATTTTTATAGACATCGGCTTTGATATTAATGGCACAAAGCACTTAGATGCAAGCTTGGGTTACACGAGGAAGAAGTTCAATCACGGTTATACCTATCATCCTGTAGCCCATTTAACTATCAATAGCGAACGCGTCGCTGCCATTTCAGGTATTTCGTCGCTCACAGTTACATTTATATAATCAAGCAATTACCATTTTATACTTACAATCAGTTAACTCTTTCGAATATTTTCTTTTAGAAAAATAATATATAATTTTTCTTTCTAATTATCTTTAAACTTTTAAAGCGTTTACAAATCCAATTAGTTATCATAATAATATATATAATAATGTATAAAAGAACTAAAAAAAGTTGAGAGATGCAATACTAAAAAAGTTAAAATTGCCAGGTGTTATTAGAAACGCACAGAAGAACAACGTCTCTCAGTTCGATATAGACCTGACTTTCCAAACGAAGCGAGTCTGGAGCAAATTGGTCGGCTACATTGTCCGGCGGAATATCAGTCTGGCCGGCGATTTTCAGCTTGATTATCAGTTGCAACGTATGCCGAGGAAAGAGACCCTCCACTTGGAGGTTTCGCTGTCCAATCGCTCGTCGAAGACGCTAACGTACAAGGCCGCCGAAATGAAATTGCACTCCACCGCCTATCCGCAACTCAACGTTGTAATAAGCGCCTGGTACCAGCAAGCTCTCGGCCACTTGGAGCTCCACGCCGAGATAAACTCCAATCCGCATCTTAAGGACGACCGGCACAAGCTAACGGCGCAACTCATTATCTCCTACTCGAAGATGTACTTTCAGAATCAAGGCACGAAAGTGACCGCGTTGATAGCCGTTACCAAACCTATTCAGAACTTGGACCTCAAGATGGGAGTCAATCACTACGTCCTTGGCGCCGAATCGAAGACTAGTTTCCTCATAGGATACGCGCCAGGTAACATGCAAAATTCACAATTGTTCATATTTGTAAATGAAATTTATTTGGCTATAGGAAAAATCTAGAAATTCTGTGTTTAATCCTGTTTTACAGGCAAGGAGATCAGTTTGATCGTTAACATCATCATGCCGCGCGGTTTGTTATTCTCTATGGAAGGTCACACGAATCTGACGATCCCAAATTTCAATTCGATGCTGATCGACGCGCGTATCAACGAGCGTTCGCAGAACGAGTACGACCTGGAGTTCTCCGGAACGTGGTTCAGCGGTCACAACATGACCGCGCGCGGCGCTTATTCCGACCGATCGTCGGCCGTCATCGTCAATCATCACCTGAAAATGATCTTAAAATCGCCGAGCTTTATCAGTCCGATTCTGCTCAATTGCCAGTTGTATCAGAATCACAGCGACCTTAAAGTCGGCCTGTACGTCGAGCAGCTGGACTACGACAAGTACGCCTTTGTGCTGAATCACACGGTGGTGTCGGCGACCAGCCTGATGTCTTACGTGGAAGCGAGATACCACGGCAACGTGTACTCGGCGATGACGAACGTCGACACCACGCGAGAGATTCGCGTGGAGCTACACCTGGACAAATGGCGGGACGTGCATCTGACCCTGAGCGGTTACAACGAGGAGGACCGGAAAGAGCTTGCGGCGGAAATCAAGTGGGACGCTAATAGAGATCCCGCCTTGAAGCTGGGCACAATGGTGCATTTAAATAGGGTGTATCTGATGAACGCGACTTCTCCCGGGATCAAACGGAGCGCGATGGTAATGCTGACCTATCCGGGTCGACTAGTTACCGGCTCTTGTGACTTGATCGCACGTAGTCCACACAATTACCTAGTGGATATTATTCTGGACTGGGGTCCGGAGAGCGTGATCAAGGCGTCAATCGGCACGGACTATGCCGTGCGACCGGAAATAACTACTGTCAAATTGGAATCGCAGCTGTTAACGCCTTTTGAAAATTGGAAGAAGACTGCCTTGAATGCGAAGTAAGCACGCATCCGGTATATGAATTATTTATGCATGCGTCAATAGAATATTTAAAACGCTGTTACATTAAAAATAATTAAAAATGTAACAAAGTTAATTATAATGATAAAATTATTAATTCTAATAAGATGTTATCAAAAGTATATTTCGATTCTATTTTTGCTCTCTTTGCAGATACTTGCAACTGTCAGACAAGATTCTAGCTAGCAGCAGCGTTCACTGGAAGGACTCCCAGCATATGATGGCGGAGTTCTACGCTAGTGTGAGCGAGGTCAAGGATCTGAAAGAATGGACAGCGAACTGTGGCTTGATCAGCACCGTACATTCCAACTCATGGGTGACTGTGAATGTCACACACAAGGTACTACGCTCGCAAACGGCGGACACGCACATGCTGATCAAGTACAACCCCGACAAGACGATTGATGCGCGCAGTGTTTGGCACCTGGACAAGCAATCGGACGACGTGTTCAACTTGACCGGCAATTTGCATTTGCATTCGCCTCTGATGAACTATCGGAAGAGCGAGCTCAAGTGCCAGCTGCGTCTCATGACCAGCTGGAAGTTCTACGGTGCGGCCAATCTTGACCTGGATAAACGCAAATACACCGGTCAACTAATCGGCAACCTCGTACACTGGAAAGAGTCTAAGGTGGAGTTCAACGTTACCACGCCACTGGAGAAGTTCGCCTTTGTTCGTGGCAGGTTCGGTCTGTCGGAGAGCAACCATCATGTCGTGGCGGAAGTTGTCACCCCGAACGGTCCTCTGGGCGTTGAGGGATTGTGCCAAGTCTTTACCGCCACTTATGATTTCAACGTCAAGCTCATGCTGGCAACGCCCCTCGAGGTGTTACAGAAGGCGTTGATGGTGGTCAAGCTGAATAGACGCGAGGCCGATTTCAGGGTCGGTTATAACAACATCACAGCGGGCTTCCTCGGCACTTGGCACTATAACAACATCACCGATTTCGATTATAGCTATATAGTGTTCACGCCTCTCGAGGGTCTGCAAGAGTGCGGCGTGATTACAAAGTTGATCGTGACGTATACAGAACTCGAGCAAATGTTGAACGTAGACACGGAATTCTCAGTGAGACTGGCAGATACCAAATTCGGCGTCAAGGCTATGGGTGGACCGAAACCACCACCCGTTAAAATTCCGCTGAAACCGGGGATTAGAAGTTCCACAATGAACGATTCTGAGTCGGAGGAAGAAGAGGAAGAAGAGGAGGAAGAGGATGAGGATGCTCTCTATTGGCGAGGAGAATTGCAGGTAATTGTAATTCAAATAACTAAACTATGATTCAAAAAACTTCATTATAAAAATCTGATTTTAAGGATTTAAAATTTAAATTAGAGAATTATATAAAATTTAAATTATATAATTAAATTATAAAGTTTAAATACTATTAATTAAAATTTTGAATATTAATTTATAATTGCGAGAGAAATTAACATAAATTTATTAAAAATTAAAAGAATATTGTAATATTTATTTTCTTAAAATAGAAGTATAATTATTATTTTAATGTTATATAATTAATAATTATTAAATGTAACGTAAATATTTATTTATTTGTAGATCTGGCTTGCAATAATCCCGAATATATTGGCAGAGCTGGATATCGATACTGAAGGTTATACCTATAAAATATTAGGTCAAGTACAATTGCCACCCGAAAAAATCGTCATAGACGACAGCTTTACCATGGAAGATGTTTTCCATATAAAGAATGATCTACATATTGATATATCGTTCGGCAAAATTAGAGAAATAACATCATTATACGCATTTATCATCGATATGGAGAATCTCTCCTACCTCATGGACATGGACATAAATATCAGAAAAAAAGATACTACGTGGCTCGAGGTAATATTTTTAATTTGACGCATTATTTTATATATTTATAACTGACAATATACTATCGAAATGAAAATCTGTTAAGTAAGCACATAAAATTTTACACAGACTGGATTTCACGGCAATTATACATATCGAGTCATTAAGAATGGAAAGGCGCATTTGGTAAAATTCGACATAAAGACACCTTTAGAATTTCTCAAAACCTTCCGTGTTAACGCAACCTACGACATCGAAGGCCTTCTTCACAAAAGTACACTTGCGATTCGTGGAGACAAATTGATCTTGGATGTACTTGGAAGTGCAAGAGTGAGTTTGCACAATTTTTTAAATTTATAAAAATAAATATTTGCATAAAAAAACTGTCAAAATAAAAAAATTTGATTTTTTTTGTGTAGTTAGAGCACGCTTTGCTAGATATGATGCTTTCGGGTGCGATCGATTCGCCCGTTATAAAAATACCGCAAACATCAATTGCTGTAAAAAAGGATTTCACCGGAGATAGGAAGGAAGTTAAGTTCAACGCAAGGATGGAAGAGCCAGTATCAAAACATGTAAGGCATCGATATTTATTTGTAATCTGTATCTGATCAAAGTACAAGTATAATAATTATTTTTCATCAATTTTGTGGTTGATTTGATTTTTATATTGATTAAATTAGTATTAATTAAATAGATTTAAATTCAAGCCGCTATCTTTCTAGATATCTTTTGAGTCCGCCTGGCAAGTAGAACATGAGTATCATCTCGTGAAAGCTTCCGCAAAGCTGGAAAGCTGGATAAGAGCTTTAAAATCATTGGAGACTGACATCCTCTACAGCAACGCGATTCACGTAAACAATACCGCCAAGTTAAACGTGCACGTAACGCATCTCGGCAATCAAGAGTATCAGTTGATTGGAAATTTAAACAATGACAAGATCAGCGCCGATTTATACACGCCGCTGTCGCAAAGACCTCATTTCCAGTTCCACGGTGACTTGAGACAGGTCAACGAATCGTTGTACGACATCAGAGGAGAGCTGAAGAACGAACTGCAAGCGAAATCTTACGACGTCAGCTCTGTTATCCTCCTGCATGACACTCTCTCTTCGATAGATGTAAAAGCCGAGCCGAAGAGCGCGAACACCGAGCCACTCGTTTTGCGGCTGAGAAGAAAGAAATTCAGTCTCCTACTGGATGTCGATGGCGGATCATTCAATAGTTCCCTCGACGCAAACGTGCTCAACAATCTGAATTGGGATGTGAGAGCCCGCACGGATATACAAGAGGCTGGTAAAGTGAATACTTTTCAGCTGAGTACCTTTATGAATGTGCAAGTGAACGGCAATACCACTCTATATATTCACACTGAGACACCCTGGAACGACAGCAGGATCCTGACGGTGAAAGGCAACTTGATGCTGACCAACACGAGCGGTGACGTCCGGCTGGACCATCGACTGAACGACGATCGATGTCACGCAACCACGAGATGGAAATTGAACTACATGGAGGACATGTTCGTGAAATTAATCACGGGATACGACACCACGGACCTGGGCAAGAAGGAGCTGTCCACTCACGTGTTCTTCAAGAACCCCGGCCGATTGTACAGGAACATCGACGTGGGTTTCGATCTGGACATCGATCGAAAGGCGTGGGAGTTTGAGACCAACGCGACCATTGGTTTCCGCAATCACCAGAACATTGACGCGGTGTTTGTCGTAAAGCTGCCACCCCCGAACAATGACGATCATCGATTTCTGATCAGCTATCACACTAACAAGCAGAATCAGGATATTTCTTACGTGGTGGGCTACAACGCCGTTCGAGCGAAGAGCAATTACGCTTCGGACGGATCGGTTTGTATTTCTTCAATATTAATAAGCAATGAAATTAATACGCGATAGTACGAACTTGAATAAGTTGAATGTAAAATTTCAGATTCGAATGGCTACGCGCGACATTAACGGACACTTCCGGCTATCTTGGGGATTGTTGCCCATGCAATCCCTCAACAATCTCTTTAACATCACCTTTGACAAGAAGGAAATCGAGCTCAAATATTCTCTATACACGCCTTTGTTTATCGAAGAGGAAACGGTGGTGCTTCTCTGCAATTACGACGCTAATTCCAATGAGACGAATTTAATTAACGCCGATCTTTTTTATCCTTCAAGACGGCAGGTTGGAACTGCAAGAATATCTTACCAAAGTCTGAATAACGTTAACGGAACCGTTAACGCGACGATATCTATGCAGCAGTTGGCATACGTTGGCTGCAATTTTGTTATACTTACCACTCTGTAAGTGAATTTACTACATGATAAGAGAAATTACAGAAAAAAGCATTAATTTTTTTCGCATAATGTTTTAAAAATCAAAACTTTAATATTAATTATATTATCAATTTTTTCAAGAATTTTATTTATCAAATGTGTGATATTCTAAAAAAATATTTGTATAATCTTTTAAGGGTATTTCTTTTACTTTCTTAATTTATTTAAATTATTTCTTTTCCTATGCACAGAAAACAGAATAAGAGATTCGTCGAGTTCTTCTGGTCTAACAACACGGCTCTGCTGAATTCCGATTACAATTATCATAGCGAGCGATTGGATTCGAATCTGGATGGCATTTTGCACATAGAAGTCCCTCTGAACGCTCGTCACGTCGGTATTCTGAACTACGGCTACAAGAAACGTCCGCAAGTCACCACTGGCCATTCGACCTTGACGTATAACGACCAGAAGATGTTTCACGCTCAATATAATTCAAAGAGCGAGTCCCGGGCCGGTTTCGACAAGGACCGCATTCAGATCACGGTGGAGAACATTTATAAGCCCATAGGCGTTGTCTACGTGAACCAGTACGAGTACAGTGGTGGAAACGAGGGTACCAACTATCCCACTGTCGAGTTCAAACAGGTGAACGTCTACCGACTGGACAACAGCTCGGCGTTCAACATCGCCGGCGAGTCCAGAATCCGGACTACCCACACCGGCCAGAACATTCATCTGAAGGCGATGCACTTAAACAAGACGATCCAGTTGAAGACAGACTATGAGGTTCTGTCCGGCGAGTTTGACCAGAACACCTGGCTGAGCCTGGCCGAGGACGCCTGGGTGTCCTACCACGTGAACATCCTGAACAAGACTACCGAAGATGTGGACAATCAGTTCCTTATCCTCAGTTTCTCCTATCCACGACGAAACTTCACCCTGGGTGGCTCCTACAGGATCACCACCGACGAGGTGAACTCCGAGGCTAATTTACAATGGGAACGCGACGATGAGAAGTCGAGGAGTGTTGGTGCGACTTTCGATTGGCTGAACATCACCGACACGTCGATGGAGAGTCAACAGCAAGCCGTGTTGAGTTTTCATCATCCAACCTTCGAGAAGAATGTTACGATGAAGGGTGTATTAATGAGAAGAGACCACAGGGATCTGTTAAACGTTGTTTTTACTGCGGATTATTCCAAGAATGAGGACAAATTGTTAACGTTGTCCGCATTGCTGAGGGACGAAAGCGACGAATCGAACAGAAAGTATATCTACAAAATAGCCGGCAAACATATCACCACTAAATTGGACCTTGACGTCGAAGGATTCGTTCATAGACGAGAATACATGCTGGTCGAGACGGTGAACCATGCTCGGTACACGCGCGGTTACATGCCGGGTGAAACTGGGGAATTCATCGGTCGGATTGACCGGAGATCGAGGGAAATAATCTACCGACGAGTGAACAATGACGAGGTCAAATATTTCGCGATCGGCTATTATCCTACGCCTTCTCAGTACATTGTAAATGGTAGCGTTATTAATACACCGGAACTTAACGCCACCGGCAAGTTCTTCTTGGATCCGGATGAGAAACTCATATGGATGATGATGAATTACACACCCGGTAAATATTACAAGACAGAAACTTTTAATTAACGTTAAAAGTTGGTAAGACCAAAATAAATATTAAAAATATTGAAAAATTAGAAATTTTTAAATATGTGTTTTAAATATGTGTCTTTTGTGTTTTATTCGATTTTACAAATTTTAAAAAGCTTCTAAACTAAAATGAATTTTATTGATCTTTTTATTGCTTCTGTTTTTCATGTGAGTTATTATTTTAGAAATAAAATTGAAAGAATTTTGTCTTCGACTTTTCTTCGATCTTTTCTCACTTGATTTATCTATTTTCAATATTTTTCATTTTGTAGATGCCACAGTGAGCTTAAGAATGCACGGCAACATTCCGGATGCTCGAAACGCCATGTTTAATATTTATAGAACCTATGACGATGACTTAACAATTTCGGACGTTTCTTTCTACTTGAAGCTAAATCACTCGAGGCTCGTTACTTCAACTTTGCGATGGCGGCCCGAGCTTAAGAGTGATATTATTGTAAGATAATTTATTGAAGATATTCGTTTAACCCGTTGAGGTCACATGGGGTCTAGTGGACCCCACGCTTTTTTTTAAATTTTTAAATTTTGATGAATATTTTTGTGAAAAAAGTCAAATTTCTCGAAAAAAAATTTTTTTTCTCGCGTTTTTTCAACATAAAAAATTTAAAGAATTATTGGATTATAAAGAGGAAGTCATAAACTAAATTCCAGTTCAAGGTTTGAGTCGATACACCAAAAAGAACGCCAATGGCAACTGTTGTGGGGTCAATATTCATCAAAATTTTTTGAGATAGAGCAAAAAAACTTCCTGCGTTTTACTCTCAAAATAGTATACTAAAAAAAAAAAAAAAAAGCCTGGGGTCCATTGGACCCCATGTGACCTCTACGTTACTTTTAGGAGGTGTGACCTCAACGGGTTAATGTAATTTCGAAGTAATTAACAGTAATTATCTCACGACTGTTGTTAGACCACTATAAAAACAACCTTCAACGAAATGTGCGAAAGCGTGGACAATGATATTGATTATTGGAAGCAATATATCAAGAGCGAAGTAAGAGCTACCATCATGGATGTGTGGGAGGACGCTCAGGAAGAAGTATCAGGATTCGTTGAAGATTGGAAGTAAGTACTAAAAATCTGTATTTAATACTTCTAATATTGTCAGATACGTTACAAAAAATATTAAGAGAAACAGATGATATAAATAATATACACTGTTAAATATGAAATTTAAACCAATATTTTGAGTTGAAAAATAATATTTTGTTATTTTTAACCACCATGTGTGTCAAAATTTATTATTTTAACACAGAACAGTATTATTTTAACTGTATTAGTTTAAATTAACATTGTTTTAGTTAAATTAACGACACATTGAGTAGGAGCAGTGGCGACTTATAGAAATGGTTAAAAATGACTCAAATTGAGTATAATTTGAATTTAACTATGAATTTAACAGTGTAATTTGTGTATAATGCATAATAGAAAAAAACGTTAAAATAATTATGTACATTATTAAACATTATGTGTAAAAATTTAGGTACACAACTTATATAATTTTCTTTTTCTCCATTCTTTTCAGTGATTTGAAAATTCTCGAGCGCGACTTTGAAGATCTCAAAGTATATTTGAACGATTCTTACAACGCAAATGATTTTTACATCAAAGACATCGTCGGTTTCGGTATATATGTCATTGACGAATTATCTCTGCGAAGTCACATTGAGTCCCTTCCTAACATCCTGAATGAAATCTGGGAGATAATGGGCGACTCCGGGGAAGCTTTGCGAAATTCGTTGCTCTGGTTGATCGATACCATCAAGAACGCCTACCATAAAATGTCCGAGATTATGGCCGCTGTACTGAGAGGCGACTCATTGTCGCAAGTAGCGAATATAATCGAGAAGCTGATCGAGAAGTACGACAGATTTATCAAGAACCTGCATGTGTCCTTCATCAAGTACATCGAGAATCTCTGGGTTACGATCTTCTCGTCCATCTCAGAGCAATGGTATCGCTTCCTGAAGTTAATGGAACCTCTGTTCATTCGCTTCGTCCATTACGTCGAGACGCTCGTGTGGAAGGCGAGCAAGGAGATGCTGGACTTTTTGTACGACCGGAAGAAAGAAATCATCACGTCGCCGTACTTCGATCGCTTCACTAATTTCACCCACGACATCGACAAGGTCTACCGCGACATCAAGGCGAATGATATAGTGACCAACATGCACAAGTACTCGGGTTTGATGATAGAGTTCGTGAAGGAGCGCTACTTCGCCTTCGTGCCGTTCGGCAAGGAGCTCAAGGACGTCGTGGACGAGATCGTGTCGGAGCTGAAGGAACTCCGAAAATTGCCGTCGGTCAACTACGCCGTGGACAAGCTCGAGCAGCTGTACGACAGAATTAACTATTTCTGCGAGTACTTCGAAGTCAGGCTCAAGGTAGAGGGTTTCATTCGGCTGGTGCACTCCAAGATGATGGACATCAGTCAGACGGCGCTGCAGGCCGAGAGCCGCTACAGAGAAGCCAAGACCATGTTCATCTTCGATCCTAACGAGGGTCTGATGTGCCTGGAGCAGAAACTGCCCATGTCCTGGCACGCTTTCAATCAAACGCCCGAATTCCACGAGATACCGGAGATCAGAGCGATCTCGGACATCAGGACGTACTTTGTCACCTCGAACACTACCTTCTGGAGCCTTTATTATCAGTACAAGCCATACTCGGAGCTGTCAAACTGGTTACCGCCATTCAAAGGTTCGTCTCGCAGTCACAAAAATTTAACAATATTTAGTTTAGTCCAATAGACTTCGAATTTTGACCGAATAGATAATAAACTACGATTAACAAACAATTCGTATTGTTTCAGCGCAAGCCATGATTATCGGCTCCCAGCATTATATTACTTTTGACGGACGTTACTTCGACTTCGCCGGAAATTGTACCTATTTATTGGCGAAGGATTTCGTGCGCGACACTTTCGCAGTTTTGGTGAAATATGATCAACAAGCGGAGGAAATCACCCACAAGATCATAGTCTTAATCGGAAGCAACGCTATCGAGTTGGACCTCTTCAATGATGTCAGTAGAATTTATTATTACACAATAAAAAATACATTAAAATTTCACTTTTTGACTAGTAAAAATTTGCTTACAAAAATATACAAAGGATAAAAAATCCATAAAGTCTGTCATTATATTTTAATAGCAAAATCAATTATTAACAGTAGTTACATTAAATGCTATGCGTTATCCAGACAATGAAGCTGATCTCTCAGAAATCAACGGACATCACGAGCAACCTGCAGCTGCCGATCGAGTTGGACAACGACACGTATGTTTACCAAGTGGAGAACGTGGTGATGGTCGAGCGCAAGCACAACCAGTTTCGACTGGAGTGTAATCTCAAGTTCAACCTATGCACTTTGGAATTATCAGGCTGGTATTACGGGAAGACGGCTGGTCTCCTCGGCACGATGAGCAACGAGCAGTTTGACGACATCCTAGGCTCTAACAAGTTGTTCCTAAAAGATACCGGCAGCTTCGCTCATAGCTGGTCGATCGGCGAGAATTGCGCCGATTCGACGAATAACGCCGGTAAGGTTCAACCGCAAGACGACATGGTGGCCACGTTCTGCGACGAGCTGTTCGTGAACAAGAGCTCGGAGTTCGGCGTCTGTTTCGGCGTGATCGACCCAGCCGAGTACGCTGAGATGTGTCTGAACAGTCTCACCGAGGCCGAGGTGTGCACGGTGGCGGTGTCGTACATGCAGATGTGTCTGTTCCGCGACACTTATCTGCGAATACCCGACCGGTGCACCACGTGCACCATGATGGACGGCAGCCAGGTGGCCGAGGGTCGTTTCAAGCGGCTGGAGGGCGACAGGGTGCCGCGGTCGGCCGACGTGGTGTTCATCGTCGAGGCGAAGAGCTGTAATCGCGACATAAAGATGAACAGTAGCATGGAGCTGCTAATCACGCAGCTCAGTAAGGAGTTGAACGACCAAGATCTCACGGGCAACAGATGGTCCTTGGTAGTGTTCGGTGGTGATGGAGTGCACGACAAACCCAGGAGCATCATCCTCGATGGGCAGATCTTCACGAAGAACGTGGCGCGCTTTATCGATTATTTCGACCACGTGCCGATCGGCAGTGGCAATCAGGACATCTTCGCCGCGATCGGCTTCGCCTCGCGGCTCGTTTTCAGAGCTGGCGTGTCAAAGTCCTTCATACTGATGCCGTGCTCGCATTGCGAACCGGAAAACCAAACGGTAATCCTGATTCTTAAGTTTTATAAACTTTAAATAATAACTCTTGAATTCTTGTCCAATTAATTTTTTCACCTCAGTTGGAGTACTCCGTGTTGCATCAAGTACTACTGGAGCACGACATCACTCTGCACATATTGATGGACGGCGACTTCGAGTTCGAGAAGGAGAAGATCAGCAAGATTTTCTACGGCTTAGACGCGGCCAAGTCGTACACGAAGAAAGATTCCCGCGTTCTGGTCGGCGACGTGGATCTGAGGAGGCAGGTCAAGCTCGCCAAGACCGTGCTGGGCTACTGCACGCCGCTATCCTTGGAGACGAACGGCACGATATTCAGCGGGGACAAGTTGCGTCTCGAGAAGTCGGCCTCGATCAAGAAGTTCGCGAGCGTCTTCTCGAAGAGGATCGCCCTCACAGCCGAGCCGACCAAGTGTCAGTTCTGCGAGTGCACCGCCGATAATAACGGCGTCACGCAGATGGAATGCATGCCGTGTATATACCCGACGCCTGTGCACGTGGATTACGTGAGCGTATGTACCGTATGATATCAGAAGCACCAAACAAAAAATGTTTAAAAAAAATCTAAAAAATATCCTCGCGATATCATGCAGGTATTTGTCATTGTCTGCAGTACGTCTAATTGAACGTTCCTTTACTGTATTGCAGGAGACTTTTAATTTCAACGAGTCGCTGTCGATGATGCCGCCGTTGGACGACGCAGATTACGGCCAAATCGATATAGAGGACGACTGAAATATAATTAAGGAAATGCCGTAGCTAGATAATACTAGATGCTAGATAATTCGCTGGTATTAGCCGTATTTATTTATAATAAACCTTTTAATATAGGTAATATACCTACCTCCCTTTCCAATTCAAGATTTGTCTTGCAATAAATTGGGACATTGAACCTGACTCGCATTAAAAATATCCATTAAAAGCGTATAAAAAATATGAGCTTGCACAGATCTGCGTGCATTATCTCTAAATGATAATTGAAAGTCTGATATCAAATAGATCCTATAATTCACATTCTACGATCGCAATTCTTTTACATATCACAAATTACAAGATATATCCGTGGCATATGGCAAGTCGCATATTTTAATATATAAAATATATCAAAATAAAGCGTATGCTATAAAATGAAATATAATATCATGATGTCGTTTTAATATTAGATATTAAGGCGTAAACATTAGTTCTGAAACCAAATTCGTGATAATTGGGATGTAGGAATATATAAGATTGGTAGAAAACGGCATAATCGCCATGTAAAAGCACAACACAGGGTCGATATATAAAACTTTCCTGTCTATATATATTATCTGTATATAATATGTGTCTGAGACTTATTATATATATAAAAATTTAATGAAAACCGGGAAATGGCAATTGATTCGCGTTACATTCTCCGCGTCTTGAAACGCATTTTACATTTTGTTCCAGAGTGGAACATGGCGAGTATATCTAAATCCTTTTCGCAAAGTCCTTCAATGTAACAAAGGAATAAACTCTATAACGCATAAAGTAATCGAGAAAACTTAATAGCCGACACGGGAACGAAACGTAGGAGACCGCGTGTTAGGAGTCCGGAAACTTTCGATATGGCCGTGATAGACTGAACGTCACAGTACATAGTGACGGCGAGACGGAAGAGGAGTACCGGCGATAACTCGGTAACGCTCGGCCTTTCGGTTTGGCCACTATTCATAATAACGTCAACCCAATCCGTCTGAAAGTGGTCACCTGGTCGTTGTATCGTGGGCCTGCAGGTGATTCGGCGCATCGGCGAACGTGAACTTCAATTTGTACGCCTCGGCCACCAGCACGCCGATCTCCGAGTCCGTCCAGTTTTGCGTGGGCAGGTTTTGTAGCATTAACATTAGCCCCTGCAATCACGAAAGTATGACAACCGATCGTGCTTTATCTCTATCTACATTGTAGCATAGAGATGGCGGATGGATTACTTGAAAATCAGGTTGCAAGAGCAAGTGTCGCCTCCAACGAAGAAGGAAGGCCGCGCATACGTAGAGCTGAAACGAGGCGAATCTGTCGGACTCCGCCAGATACGTGTCCCAAAGTCGGATGGTACAGTGAAGCGGGATTTCCCTGGTTAGCAGGTTGTTCATCCACCGAAAGGAGAATTGTAGATAATCCACTCCGTGCTGATGCAAGTGTTGATGCAACGGCGCTAAAATGTTAAAATGTTACCATAAAATGTTAACAAAAAAAGGACAAATGTTTTAGACAAGGTAAATTCATAGTAGGATACTCACCATCGATCCTCTGTATTAGCTCCTTCAACTGATTCACTTTATGCTGGATACCCAACTGAGCAAATATGTAGTTGTCCTGTATACCATCCAAGAATTTAGATAGACACCAAAAGCTATCCGCCTCGATAATGTCACGCTGCTCCTTCGACAACGATGCCACGTCGTAATTTTCCAAATCCTGCCAGGCTTGTATCGGTATGGCCTCTTGCAGAAAGACCAAGAAGAAGGGTGTCACGAGGTCATTCATACCCTGCAACAATGGATATACGAATTAAAGATACACGAATCTTGACTCTTTACCACGTAATGAAATGAATAAAAAAGACACGTTGCTGTGCCAAATACCTGGACATAACCAGACGCAGGATGTCTGATTGCCCAAATGTACAATATTCTCTCGAATATCAGCTGCACCGTCGTCTGCTGAAACAGCGAGATGAGCGGCGACATTCTAGGGATGTCGATATGAATCTGGCGATACGTGTCCTGAAAACCCTCGTCCCGCTCGACGTCGTAATACTGCTTCACCAAGTTCCAGTAGTCCAATCGTTTGCGTTCCAACGCGGGCTGCCTACGTTCCAGATTAGCCGGCAAGTACTCCTGCAACGTCACGAACGCGGTGTCGCTTAACGCTTCGCGAACGGCGTTCTATCGGGCTCGATGATGCGGCGCGTTTACCTTCTCTACTTACAGACAATAACCGCCAAGTGACGGAACGTAATTTGGCAGGCACGCCCGACCACGATAGCTGCCTCAATTCATCTAGATTCAGCACGGACGCCTCCAAAAGTAACTGAAACTTGTCCACCTTGCTCTCGCCGTCTAAAAGCAGATTCACACAAGCGTCTTTTAAACGCTCATCTCAAGGATCGCTGCTAAACGTACTAAGGAACAGATACTCACCTTGTTCCTTCGAAGGTATAAAAAATTTATTGGGCGCATTTGTCTGCCTCAGCGGCTGCGGTCTACCGGGGAATTGCGTCGGCCTGTGCAGGGGCGATGCACCGTGCTTCAGATCCGCATCCTCGCCGGAGTGCTGGCTGTTGATCATCTGCGAGTGCAGATTCACGTTGCGCAGATGCAACGGCTGCACCGCCAGCCTCTGTAGAGCCTCCGCCTTCTTCTCCTCCGGAATAATTTCTCGTTGGACCGCCTTGGCGTTTGCCTGATGGGACGGCTGTGAACACTTATTGCCAGATCTATGACTATTGATGACGCTAAGGGCCGCCGAGTGGCTGACCCTCTTCGATATCCTCACATCCGAGACTGTACAGAATTCGTCGTCCCCCGAGTCCCACGCGTCGTCCACGCTCTCCTGAAAGTCTTGAAACGAAGTGGAGCCCCCGCTTCCACTTCCCGTACCGTGACCGCCGCTGCTGTTGGCGGTACCGGCAGCCAGATTGCCGGACCCAATCGCCGTGGGATTGAACTTGCCGGGCCTGACGTCCTGCTTCAGGCTTGGCCTTCGAAGAGAGATTTCTCGATTAGTAAGTTGATCCGCGAAAAATCCCAGGTACACGGAAAGCAAAATCGCAAAGGGATACACACCTTCCCGGTACAGCCCGCGTATTCTTCTTCCAGAAAGACTGGTGAGTCGAGATGGCTTGATGGTGGTAACCTTGATTCTCCATAGCGGAAGGAAACACACAAAGTTAGCTCGCACCTGGTAATCCTCCAATGCAGCTGCCGCGGCACGGATCGTTCCTCATACCCTCGCGATAACCGTCAGATCTACAAGAACCAGAAGAGTGCTCCTTTGTAGCGTCATAAGCGTCATCGTTGCATCACAGTTCGCGCAACAAACATATGCTAAGATTAACGCGTACAATTACACGTATAAATTTAACAATGTATCAATTGTTATTCTCCAAAACGGGCTCAGCAAGCTCAGCATTTCTGTGAAGTCAAAGAGTGACCCAAAGAGTACGGAACATGTTGTACACACGTTGTAGTTTTGTACACACACACATGATGTCAAGCGTAAGAGCGAGGCTGTCAACGCCTAACTATTGTTGCAAGAGCGATCACAACAACGGAAGGGACGGTGACAAGACTGTGACAAGTGGAACGGAAGGAGAGGACGGATTCCCCGTAATAACAAACGCATTGTGGTTAATAACATATGATCCCCCGGTGCACCGATGAGGACGCGCCCGACATCGACGCGCGCCGCGGCCCGTTCCCGCAATCGAATCCACAGAGATCCACGGTATCCACACGCAGGACGCACTCCAGTGTCCAGTCTGCTCCAGTCCGCGGGAGTCGACGGGGGGAGGGGGAGGGGTGGAGGACACGTCTACGTGCAGCGCAGCGGGGAGTCCCGTCTCCCGTTCCGTTGTCGCTGGCCGTTCCCGGAGCGAGAAGGTTATGTTGCGTAAGCCGCGTCGGATCGTCGGAATCGGCCGCGCGAGCCGCGGACCGGAGGGAAGAGATCACGAGGAGGGTAGAACGAGAGACGAGAGAAAAGCGTTCCTACATTTCACAGTCGACGCAGCGACGATCCCGCGAGGTAGACCGAAGACAGCGGGTCTAAGTTTATTGTCTGGCCGTCGGTATCGCCTGCGCCGCGGCGGCGTCGCGACGACGACAACGTCGTCGTCGTCGTGGTCACGATAGATCGCGATCTTGGCGCGCCGGGCACGATCGCCGCGTTCCACTCGCACCTTTTCTCCCGCGCGCGCTCAGGAGACGCTCCCGAAGACGCCGCGACGTCGGCGCGGCGACTCTCTGCTCGCTCGGGCGAGCAGGTACGCCAAGGTACGCGATTTCGACGTGCGACGCGACCGTGCGAGTCACGTCACGCGAGCGCTGCCGCCACCGCCGCGAGCCGCGGTCTCTCCTCGCATCGTCGCGTTTCCCGTGCGATTTGTCAGCCGCGACGAAAGCGTGGCCGTATTGCGTATTGCATTCTGAAAAGAGACAGGAGCCAAGAAATATAAGAAGAGAAGAAGGCTCCGAAAGCGAGAGAGGGAGAGAGAGAGAGAAAGAGAGGAAACTGTTAAGAAAAGACACGTCGCGCGGACTCGTGTCAGCCCGTTGTTTATCTCTCTCGCGTTTGCATCGGTGCCGACGTAAGCAAATGAACTCGATTCAAAACGTAAATAATGTGACGTAATGGCCAAATCTGAGGGGGCAGATTTTTTCTCGCCGGAATTTGCCCGCGCAAATGTAATAGAATCTAACGAAACTAACGTAGACTATTCTATTAATATTACAGCAATTCCAGTTTGTATTGCGAGAATCGAGACTCTTACAACATTGCTGCAGGAATCCTGGAATGTTGCTGTAATATTGATGTAATTGCTG